GTAGCTGCTGGAATATCGCTCCGGGTACGTGTTATCATGCTGTAGCTGCTGGAATATCGCTCGGGGAACGTGTTATCATGCTGTAGCTGCTGGAATATCGCTCCGGGTACGTGTTATCATGCTGTAGCTGCTGGAATATCGCTCCGGATACGTGTTATCATGCTGTATCTGCTGGAATATCGCTCCGGGTACGTGTTATCATGCTGTAGCTGCTGGAATATCGCTCCGGGTACGTGTTATCATGCTGTAGCTGCTGCAATATTGCTCCGGGTACGTGTTATCATGCTGTAGCTGCTGGAATATCGCTCTGGGTACGTGTTATCATGCTGTAGCTGCTGGAATATCGCTCTGGGTACGTGTTATCATGCTATAGCTGCTGGAATATTGCTCCGGGTACGAGTTATCATGCTGTAGCTGCTGGAATATCGCTCCGGGTACGTGTTATCATGCTGTAGCTGCTGGAATATCGCTCCGGGTACGTGTTATCATGCTGTAGCTGCTGGAATATCGCTCCGGGTACGTGTTATCATGCTGTAGCTGCTGGAATATCGCTCCGGGTACGTGTTATCATGCTGTAGCTGCTGGAATATCGCTCCGGGTACGTGTTATCATGCTGTAGCTGCTGGAATATTGCTCCGGCTACGTGTTATCATTCTGTAGCTGCTGGAATATTGCTCCGGGTACGTGTTATCATGCTGTAGCTGCTGGAAGATTGCTCCGGGTACGTGTTATCATTCTGTAACTGCTGGAATATTGCTCCGGGTACGTGTTATCATGCTGTAGCAGCTGGAATATCGCTCCGGGTACGTGTTATCATACTTTAGCTGCTGCAATATTGCTCCGGGTACGTGTTATCATGCTGTAGCTGCTGGAATATCGCTCTGGGTACGTGTTATCATGGTGTAGCTGCTGGAATATCGCTCCGGATACGTGTTATCATGCTGTGGCTGATGGAATATCGCTCCGGGTAAGTGTTATCATGCTGTAGCTGCTGGAATGTTGCTCCGGGTACGTGTTATCATGCTGTAGCTGCTGGAATATCGCTCCGGGTACGTGTTATCATGCTGTAGCTGCTGGAATATCGCTCCGGGTACGTGTTATCATGCTGTAGCTGCTGGAATATCGCTCCGGGTACGTGTTATCATGCTGTAGCTGCTGGAATATTGCTCCGGGTACGTGTTATCATGCTGTAGCTGCTGGAATATCGCTCCGGGTACGTGTTATCATGCTGTAGCTGCTGGAATATCGCTCCGGGTACGTGTTATCATGCTGTAGCTGCTGGAATATCGCTCCGGGTACGTGTTATCATGCTGTAGCTGCTGGAATATTGCTCCGGGTACGTGTTATCATGCTGTAGCTGCTGGAATATTGCTCCAGGGACGTGTTATCATGCTGTAGCTCCTGGAATATCGCTCCGGGTACGTTTTATCATGCTGTAGCTGCTGGAATATCGCTCCGGGTACGTGTTATCATGCTGTAGCTGCTGGAATATCGCTCCGGGTACGTGTTATCATGCTGTAGCTGCTGGAATATCGCTCCGGGTACGTGTTATCATGCTGTAGCTGCTGGAATATCGCTCCGGGTACGTGTTATCATGCTGTAGCTGCTGGAATATCGCTCCGGGTACGTGTTATCATACTGTAGCTGCTGGAATATCGCTCCGGGTACGTGTTATCATGCTGTAGCTGCTGCAATATTGCTCCGGGTACGTGTTATCATGCTGTAGCTGCTGGAATATCGCTCTGGGTACGTGTTATCATGCTGTAGCTGCTGGAATATCGCTCCGGGTACGTGTTATCATGCTGTAGCTGCTGGAATATTGCTCCGGGTACGAGTTATCATGCTGTAGCTGCTGGAATATCGCTCCGGGTACGTGTTATCATGCTGTAGCTGCTGGAATATCGCTCCGGGTACGTGTTATCATGGTGTAGCTGCTGGAATATTGCTCCGGGTACGTGTTATCATTCTGTAGCTGCTGGAATATTGCTCCGGGTACGTGTTATCATGCTGTAGCTGCTGGAATATTGCTCCGGGTACGTGTTATCATTCTGTAGCTGCTGGAATATTGCTCCGGGTACGTGTTATCATGCTGTAGCAGCTGGAATATCGCTCCGGGTACGTGTTATCATACTGTAGCTGCTGGAATATCGCTCCGGGTACGTGTTATCATGCTGTAGCTGCTGCAATATTGCTCCGGGTACGTGTTATCATGCTGTAGCTGCTGGAATATCGCTCTGGGTACGTGTTATCATGCTGTAGCTGCTGGAATATCGCTCGGGGTACGTGTTATCATGCTGTAGCTGCTGGAATATGGCTCCGGGTACGAGTTATCATGCTGTAGCTGCTGGAATATCGCTCCGGGTACGTGTTATCATGCTGTAGCTGCTGGAATATCGCTCCGGGTACGTGTTATCATGCTGTAGCTGCTGGAATATCGCTCCGGGTACGTGTTATCATGCTGTAGCTGCTGGAATATTGCTCCGGGTACGTGTTATCATGCTGTGGCTCCTGGAATATCGCACTGGGTACGTGTTATCATGCTGTAGCTGCTGGAATATCGCTCCGGGTACGTGTTATCATGCTGTATCTGCTGGAATATCGCTCCGGGTACGTGTTATCATGCTGTAGCTGCTGGAATATCGCTCTGGGTACGTGTTATCATGCTGTAGCTGCTGGAATATCGCTCCGGGTACGTGTTATCATGCTGTAGCTGCTGGAATATCGCTCCGGGTACGTGTTATCATGCTGTAGCTGCTGGAATATCGTTCCGGGTACGTGTTTTCATATTGCCCCGGATACGTCTTGATAAGAAAAGTCCGTCTGCGGGTCAACAATGTTTTATTGTGAGCTCTTCACCGGGTGCTCAACTCCCAGTACCAAACTGCCCAACTTGCGCTCGTTACATGCATCTACCTTCGTCTGCTTCTGTTCAGCGAGATATCGCCCGGCGCACACTGCATGCGACACACTCTTATAGTACATGTGGTATACTGGAGTGGGTGAGTGAGTTAGGTTTAACGCCTCTTTCAGCAGTATTCCAGTTATATCACGGCATGTCAGCTTTATGTGGGAGGAAAGCACGAAGTGATGCAGGTCTCTGACGTTTACCACTTTGGTGAAATCCAAGAGCACGGGTATGGTGCTGACAAACCTAGAAACATAATCGGGGCGAATCGGGATTCAAACCCACAATCATAGGTTTCTGGCATGCCCAAGGGACTCAACTCTGCACAGCGAATCGCGGCGCCTTGGACGACTGGGCCACCCGTGCCCCCGGTATACTACATATTGCACTTGATAAACGGTATACTGCATGTAATATACGTTTCGGTCGTGACAAAGGACACGCCCTCACGTCCTCAATAAGGGTTGTGAATGATGCACAGTGGACAGTCGATATGAGTGCATACAAAAATGAATTGTTTGCAAACATTGTCTTATTGCTGAGCAATAATTATTATAGATAGAAATGGATTTTGAATTGAATTTGCTGTGGACCACTTTTTTATTTAATAATGTACAATACGACTAACTAAATACATTGACATACATACATCCATGATACAGAATCAAGCAAATATACATAAGAATGCTTATGCTTGTTGATAAGAATTGGGCATCAGCAATGAAAACATTGCTTGATACGAGGGCTGGTCAAAAAGCTCTAAGCCTGACTAACTTTCTTCTATGGGCCATTACAACAATCAATGTACAGTGAACTACGGTTATAACGAACACGCTTATAACGAACTAACGGATATAACGAACTAACTTTTTAGTCCCAACTTTTTGCTGTAGCTATACTGTATATATGCTTATAACGAATTACGGTTATAACGAACCAAAATTAGTAGTCCCTTTGAGTTCGTTATAACCGTAGTTTACTGTAGTACATTGTTTGAGTAGTTCATCGCCCGTGTATTTGATCTGTTGAGGCCGTTTGCATATTTGTGATGGCCAGTTGAACATAATTAAAGTTTAGTGCGTCAACATTTTCCTCAGCCTGATGCTATTCAAATGGTGATGGCAGTATCGTGAAATGTACAGGAGCGAACATATTCGTGTGTATTGATTCAAGTAAGATATGAGTAAGGACCTGGTTCTATGCCACAGTAGTTTGTAATGTTGTTGTTTGTTATATATGATTGTTTCTATGACAACAGTGTGTGGCATTGTGTAGTTTTAAACGAGGAGAGAGACATTGTAACTTACAGTTTTAACAAGAATGACAAAGTTGTATTCACACTTACCCAGAGGAAATATAAAACTGTAAACGCAAAACACTAAAAGTCACCAAGTCACTGACCATGGCATTGAGAGTTCAGTTGGAATGTTTTGGCCTTTGATGAAGTCCTTGGTTTTCTTTTAGTTACTGCGCGGACACGGGATTCGCATGTAGTGGTCGTTGTTCATGCGTTGCTTGCAGCTGTGGAGGGTGGAGTCCAAGGGTACTAATGGTTGGTCTTCACATCAGTTTGCCGTAAACCACACATCACAGTTATAATATGTGACAGAATCCTTTTCACCAAGCTACAAAGTGTCTGAATTGTGGTTTACGTGGCACAATTCACAGACAGTGTGGTCAACTGTTCTCCTATTCACGATGTTGGTGGCTGCCTTCGTCAAGTTGACTTGTGCTGTAGACTCAGGATGGACGGATATCGTCCACAGATGGCTATCTACATACCACATACACAGTGTCACTTCATATTGGAGTATCCCAGTGATGCCTCATCCATAGAAATATATTGGCACAATGATCCAGTGAAGTTTGAGAAATATATCCTTCTATCAAGTCGTGATTGTTGTGGTGAAAATGTTACACCAGACTTCCAACAAAGATGTTCCAATACATTTATGACAATACTCGTTCAAAGTAAACTCCTGCATGAAAATGATTTGCGCAACTATAGATACTGTAGGAGACAATGTAGACTACTTCAGAATTCAAGTCATTTCCTCGGTGATCTGTTTGAGTAAATGCAAGACAGGCCCCCTTTTCACTGGCGACGCAGGAACACACCAATACCAACACCAATACCAATCGCACAGACTGCAAGGTAGCCATAATCCAGTTTCATCAAAACAGGATCCGAGCAAACTGTTTTCAGCATTTCACAAACTTGTTCTGCAGTTGGGCGTTTGGACATGTTTCTCCGTAAGGCTGCCTTGATCACGTCTCCAAGTCCCTGGTCAGCGACATGACGGAGTTCTATTTCCCCTCTTACCTCGGCAAGACGGCGTACAGTGTAGTAGGCAACTAGTTTGTCGTCGTCGAATTCAGGACGCAATAAAGCAAAGGCGATAGCGCCAAGAGAGAAAATATCACTTTTATCTGTCAGAGCCGCTTCAGGGGGTGAAAAACAAGTGTCTCCTGTCTCATCGTTCTCGTCATGTTCCCCATCTTCCCCGTCATGTACGCCAAAATGTCCCCCTTCATGTACGCCAAAATGTCCCCCGTCATGTACGCCAAAATGTCCCCCGTCATGTACGCTAAAATGTCCCCCGTCATGATCCCCGCCATGTCTCATGTCACGTTCCAGGCCACGTCTCCCGTCATATTCCGACAATGAGCGAGCCGATCCAAATCCTGCAATGTTATAAACCGCTCGATTGTACCATGTCACAAGGATGTTTTCTGGCTGCAGGTTACGGTGTTCTATGCGCAAGTTATGAAGAAACTCCAATCCACTGCCAATGTCGGTTACGACAGAACGACAGTCGGCCTCGTCTAGAGGATTCTTCGAGTTTGAACGTTTACTCACATACTGGTCCAGGCTGCCTTCCTCGCAATATTCAAAGGTCAGTGTGAAGCAATCTGCAGTAAAACCTTCACCAATCATCTTGACAATGTTCTTGGCCCCTTCAGATTCTGCACATTGTCGGAGTATGTTCTTTTCGGCGGCTGCTTGACGTTGTGAGCAGACAAGTACTTTCTCAACAACCATCTTGTTACCTTTCTTTTCCTTGCGCACTCTTGAGGACCGACCAGGAACAAGTTCCCTTCCCTTCATTCTTCGTATTCGTGGAATACAACTCTTCTGAACAGTCTCAAGGAAATGCGACGTAGTAGTAGGTGACACCTGACTGAGAGTCAGTAGGTCAGGTCGTGATTCGGATAACCCTTATTGTTACCCAAGGCAATCAGGACGACCATCCTTCGTCACTACTCGCCTCTTTCCGTAGCTTGTCCCGGAATGAACCACGACATGTGGTATTCAGCAGAACCATGTAAACAGTTTATCAAGGACAATGATCGAAAAATACTGATTACCTCGTCATTTGATGAGGATTTACTGTACAGTCAATTACTTAGCGTGGGATCCAAATCGAGAAGGGCCAGAATCACCTGTGTATAAGGTCATGTCACAGTAAAGGTCAATATTACAGAATGTTTGCAATGCAGGGTTGTTATTTGAATACTTAACACTTATGAGCGACGAGTGTTGACAATCTTATGATACGAGGAGTTGGTCATGGTCTTGGCCTTTGATGGAGTCCTTGGCTTTATTTTTGGTCCTTTGCTTATTTTGGTTTTCGCACGGACACGGGACTTGCATGTAGGGGTCGTTGTTCATCCGGTGCTTGCAGCTGTGGAAAGTGGAGCCCAAGGGTACCAGTTGTTCTTCACATCGATTTGCCGTAAACAACACATCACAGTTATAATATGTGGCCGAATTGTGGTTTCCGTGGCACCATTGACAGACAGTGTGGTCAACTGATCTCCCATTCACAATGTTGGTGGTTGGTTGTATTGTGGACTCCACAGCTGGCTCTCTACATATCCACACAGTTTCACTTCATATTGATCCATAGAAATATATTGGGATAATGATCTCTTTAATTCTTTTTTAAATTATATCCCATTGTTTCAGTGTTATTTCTGAAATATATGCAGACACAACTACAGCGCCGCCAAAAATCAGAATATTCCACCACGTGTAACCTGTATTCAGCATTGAACAAACTTGTTCTGCTGTTGGGCGTCCAAATATATCTCCTTTTAAGGCTTCATTGATGATGTCTCGCAGTCTCTGGTCAGTGATGTGACGGAGGTCTATTTCCCCTGCCATCTTGGCCAGATGACGTCCACCATAGTAGGCAACTAGTTTGTCGTTGACAAATTGCGGACTCCACAAAGCATAGGTGACAGCTCCAAGGGAGAAAATATCACTTTTCTTGTCCAGAGCCCCTTCAGGGGGCAAAAAACAAGAGTCTTCAGTTGCATCTAACCCACCATGTTCCTCAACTCTCCTGTTATTTCTCCTGGCCTTGCGACGAGCTGCCGATCCAAATCCTCCTATTTTATAAACAGGTTTACTGTATGACGTCACAAGGATGTTTTCTGGCAGTAGGTTGCCGTGTATGATATCAATGTGGTGAAGAAACTGCAAACCACTGGCAATGTCGGTCATGAAAGAACGACAGTCGGCTGCATTCGGAGGTTTCTTCATGAATAAACGTTTACTCACATATTGGTTCAGGTTGCCTTCCTCGCAATATTCCAAGAACATTGTGACGCCTTTTGCAGGAAAAGCGTCATAAATCTTGACAATGTTTTTGGCCCCTTCAGATTCTGCGCATTGTCGGAGTATATTCTTTTCGGCGTCTGCAATCGGCTGTGGACACGAAAATGCTTTCACAAGCACCGTTTTGTTACCTATGTTAAAGTTCCTCAATGTTGAGAACCGACCTTGAACCAGCTCTGTTTCCTTCATTTTTCGTATGCATGGAATATGACTCCTCTGAATAATCTCAAGGAAATGCGACGAAGTACAGTTAGATTCAATGGCGCGTTGTTATATTTAGACTGAACACCTGACTGTGAGTCAGCCAGTCAGGTCGTGGTTCAGATAACCCCTGTTGTTCCCTAAGCCCGTCAGGACTACCATCGTTCGTCACTACTCGCCTCTCTCCGTAGCTTGTCCCGGAATAACACGAGTTGGCCACGAATGAATCACTTGATATATTTAGTAACACAATGTTAATATTATCTCCATTATAGCCCAAGGCCATAGCCTGAGGAGCAACAACAACAAAATCGATATTACAGTACGTTTTCACCTTATCACTAAAATGCCATTTGGTGCAGATATGTACTCAGCGGGTCATGTGGTCAGGCTCGCTGATTTGGTTAATTCATGTCATCGTGTCCCAATTGCGTGGATCGATGCTCATGACATCAATCACTGGATTGTCTGGTCCAGACTCGATTAATTACAGACGGCGTCATGTAGCTGGAATGTTGATGAGTGCGGCGTAAACAACAAAGTTGCAAAGTACAGAATGGAGACCTAGTTGAGGTGAGGTGAGGTGAGGTGAAATTGGGTTTAAACGTCGCGTCCAAGATTACTGCGTGCGTGCGTGCGTGCGTGCGTGCGTGCGTGCGTGCGTGCGTGCGTGAACCACGACATGTGGTATTCAGCAGCACCATGTAAACAGTTTATCGAGGACAATGATCGAAAAATACTGATTACCTCGTAATTTGATGAGGATTTACTGTACAGGCAATTACTCAGCGTGGGATCCAAATCGAGAAGGGCCAGAGTCACCTGTGTATAAGGTCATGTCACAGTAAAGGTCTATATTACAGAATGTTTGCAATACAGGGTTGTTATTTGAATACTTAACACTTATGAGCGACGAGTGTTGACAATCTTATGATAAGAGGAGTAGGTCATGGTGACGTACCAGCAAATACATGTCAAACACGTGGTACTTTAATCTAGGTTAGGTTGTACATCACAGGCTTAAGATACCCACATTGAAATAGCAGAGCAGAAATACACAATAGGCGCTGTAGCCATACAAATTATATGAGCTAATATGTGACGTCACACCACCATCGTTTCGGCATATTGCAATATCAAACATTACATTCAGTAAACTTCACACACTATCTATAACCTATGACCCAACATACCAAGTTCTTAACATGTATATATACTGAACCAAATTAAAAACTTCACAATCCTAAAATTTTAACATTTTGACTAGTTATCATTGTGGGCCCTTATTGTGTATTTAAACAGTAATGGCCACGTATTGTCTTTAGATAACACCTGTTTTTGTGCAGGTGAATCGATCAAAATCATGTGCACAGCACTATAGTGGCAAAGGTGTTTTTTCAGCCATACTTGTTAGCAGTCATTAACAAAAAAAGGAAAAACACAAGAAAACAAAAGTCTTTACGGCCATTTGTCATGCCACGCCTTTCAAATGTGCAACGTGAACGTGCCATCGGCATGTTGCAGACGGGAACGTCCGTAGCTGAAGTCGCAAGGACGATGGGTTGTAGTCGACGGACTGTTTATGATTTACAGACGCGTCTACAGAAAACGGGTACCACCGCTGATCGCCCTCGGCCAGGTCGACCACGTGTGACGTCACATGCAGAGGATCGTCAGATTGTCTTACGTCACCTCCGTAACCGATTTTTGACGGCTACATCAACCAGAAATAAACTGTTTAGGGGTAGACTGAGTGCGCAAACTGTTCGAAACCGTCTGAGAACTGCTCACCTTCAAGCACGACGGCCATACTGCGGGCCGATTCTGACTCAATTACACAGACGTCAACGTCAATTGTGGGCACAGCGACACTTAAGATGGTCTCAGAGGAATTGGAATCAAGTCGTCTTCAGTGATGAATCCCGATTTAATCTTCGATTTGCTGATGGTAGGGCGAGGGTGTGGAGGCGCCGTCATGAACGTTACGCCCAGTGTTGTATACAGGAAGTTGACAGATTTCGAGGCGGAAGTGTCATGGTGTGGGGTGCTTTCTGTGGCAATGCACGTTCCAGGTTTCTTGTCATCCATGGCAACCTCAACGCTGCTGCTTACCGCGACCAGGTACTGGCACCAGAACGTCTGATTTTATGGCAGCACATGGACCCGGTTTGATCTTCTAACACGACAATGCCCGACCCCACACAGCAATTTTGACAAGGAATTTCCTTCAGAATGCGGGAGTCAACGTCATGGACTGGCCGTCAAGGTCTCCTGACCTCAATCCCATCGAACACGTCTGGGATGCTCTTGGCAGAAGTCTGCGCACTCTCCAGAACCAACCACAGAATTTGCAACATCTTGTCACCATTTTGCAGTAACAATGGCGTCGTCTTCCCAATCATGTGTTCACAAGCATCACAAGGTCCATGCGGAGGCTTTGTGTGGCAGTTGTCAACGCACATGGTGGCCATACACGCTACTGAACTTGTGTGCCATCAGATTCTCGTGCTTGGGACTTATATATGTTGTCTTCGATCCCTCACTCACTGATACCAATACATCTAAAAAGTAATGTCATCATTTAAATGGTGAGTTTAAACGCGTATTTTACCCTTACACACCCTTCCTGTCTGTTATCAATGTGTCACTGTTTACAGTTCGGGCGATCATAACCCTATAGACATGTGTGCGGGCGAGTTCATTCATCAGAAATCTGTCATTTACGATGTGTTTATAAATATGAACTGCTAACCACGCTCATAGTCATGTTGCGTGTCGTGGTTAGAACCACGATCTATTGAAAGGTGTCATACATTCGTGTTCGGATATAGGTACAACATCTACAAGCACATACTTTCCTACATCATTCAAATGTTTTAAATACCGGATACGTTTAATAGACACCAACGAAAGAAAGGTTTAATGAGGGGAATACCCATATATATACTCTCTGAAATAACTCCCTTTTAAAATAACAAATGTACAACACATGTTCCCTAACATATAATAAATACGGGACACTGGTCACACAATTTATGAATGGGAAGCTTCAGGCGAGGCTGTTATGTTAACATTATTGTAAGGCCGGGGTATGTTGACATTGTTATGGGCGGTCGGTCGCTTAGTCTCTCTGCTATACATTAGCTCATTCTTGCGCGCTAAATGTAAACTACACTGCTAGCTTGCTGATTGTGTAGTCTTATCTATTTTGTCTATATTTTTTTCTATACAGGTTGTCTAACGTTCATGGTGTACAACTTGTAGACCGTACAAGATGAATTTGA